TCCATGTCATATTACCAAACAAAAGTCAACGCGCATTTGTCATTTATACAAAAATCACGCATGTGTTGCAAATTTATGCCGCAATAAACAAAATGCACGTGCGAAATAAACTATATTTCGAGCCTCAACTGTGAGTTATAAATTCAGTAATAGTTAGCAATTGTTCAGGTTATCATAAAAACTTTAATATAATTGCAGTAAAAAAATATAATGTGTATCGATATCTTTTTAATTATTTTTGACCATTGCAAAAGAAGCTCTTTTCGCGACGTATGACGTATTCAGAAAATCGTCAAATTTTACGACGTTTAATAAAAAAAATCCGTTTTATAAAACGAACATCACAGAACCAAACTGATTATACCAATTGCTATATGAGCAATTGTATTTAATCAGGACCTCCTTGTCGCATTAACAAACTGTGCATTTGAAACTGTACTTTATTAATCACTCTTTTGCAAAAGTATTAAACAATTAAACTTATTAAGAAGATTAAGCAAAAACTCTATATTCATAAATTTATATTGAAATTATATTGATTATCATATTTTAAAAATTTGTATTTTTTTTTATAAAATTTTTGTTTGAATGTTTTATAATTTGTACCTACATAAAAATTTCTTTTATACATATGTATATTTATATTAAAAAACTCCTCTAAAATTGTATAAGTTAATAATTTAAATATATAATAAATTTTATAATTTATGTAACATTTTTGAACTTTCTTACTGTTAAAATAAAACAAATAATCTTATACTTTTTTATTTATATGTAAAAATGCAAATCGCAAACAAGAGTGTTATTGTCAAAGCACAGTTTTCAGCAATTATATTGCAAATATTGATAAATAAAAATATAATAGGTGTCACTATTTTGTATAATTAGAGATATAATAAATAAATTCACTCACCGGTCGTTGTACCCTAGCTAAGTACGCTCTCAAAGTTGTATCTACAGAAATTTATACACATTTCAGTTATATAAATTATCATATATTTTATCTATGTCAATATTATTTAAGTATTGTTACTTTGATTAAAACATAACTATATGCAATAACTTGTGCAAATAATTATTTAAAAATTTGTATGAATGTGCAATAAAAACGTTTCAATAAATATTCTATCAAATATTTTCAAACATTTTAATCAATATTTAACAAATATAAATAGTAATTGTATATGTATGTATTACCACAAAATAATATACATATTTAAACAATAAACAAATAATTTACTCACCAGCTAGGATATTGCAGTTAGCTTCAGTCCGCAGATTCCATCATAAACTCTTCCGCATCAGATCCATCGGCGAATCGACGAACATCACTTCGATTCACGTACATTCGCATTTATTAATTATCCGTACACAAAAGAAAAATTGATCCGCACACTTTATTTCACGAAAATCGCGGATATATCTTCGTCGCAAATTTGTTCCGGCGCAATGTACACGAAACATGCTTTGCACTGAAACGCGTCTACGTACATAATAGTGTCGATCAGTGCTTGGAAATAGTTGAGCATCTGAAGCGATTTTAGTGATCGATGCCCACTTTCCTCTTCTTATCGTACGCGCCGTAACAGGTGGGACGGACCAATGTAGCGGAGCGTTTGGAGCGACGCTATCAGATTAATAAGTAGATTTTTCTCTTATAAAAACCCTGATTATTTAAATTTGAGGTGAGAATTGATCATTGAAATTAAAAAAAAATTATTAAAATTTATTATTAAAAATATTTTTTTATTTTTATATTTATTACATTGAAATATCATGATAATGCAAATAACATGAAAATTTATTGTCATGATATTTCAATGAAATAAATATAAAAATTGAAAAAACAATATTTTTAACAATAAATTTTAATAATTCTACATAAATTGCAATAATCTTCAAATTTAAGTAAAATGCATAACAGTTCTTACAGAAAAAATCTACTCATTAATTGGATAGCGTTCCTAACCTTAGTTGTTATAATGCGCGCGGTAAGAAAAGAAAAGAAGGCATCAATCACGAAAATTGATTGAAATATCTAACTAATGCTGAGCACTGATCTCGATTATTATTACCTTACACATTCCACATATCACTGTGCACACGTCCAAAGCGAGCGACACAAACGACGATCGTCTTGTTGGTCGCGCGAAGGTTATCAGGTATAAACGCATACACAACTATGTCTACTTCAATTCCGATGAGCAGATTTCAATATGCTACACCCAAAAAGGTACGGTTATATTTTCTTAAGCAAATATAGAAATTATTTTCAATATCTATGGTCGGTATTCATAGTCCGTTCTTATATTTAAGATTGTCTTAAGCACGGACTTATATTCGCTCTCTTCGTCACACATAGATTGTGTCTGACAAAGAGAGCGAATATAAGTTCGTGCTTAAGACGATCTTGAATATAAGAACGGACTATGAATACCGCCCAATGACACCAAAATTGCATCTCACTGAAATTATAACCTCTTTAAAACATACGGTTCAATGGTCAAACGATCGACGCTATTAACCGCAAACATTCGCCGTAAATAATACGTTTCGATAATCATCCGCCACGTTAATCGACTCTAGCGATAAAAATTTGCAATTGTTATGCATCTTTACTACGTGATTACTGTGAATAAAATAATTTACCTTTCACGAAGTATTCGCGCGTCCCGAATCAAGCCGGAAAAGACGTAACGACTGCCTTACGCGCAGTAGTTCATTTCGCTACTGTAGAGCGCGCTGCACTCCATTTGACTACGTCACTTCCACCTTACACGGAACGCAAATGCTACATAAGAGGTAAATTATTTCATTTACAATAGTAATTGCATAGTAAAGATGCATAACGATTACGAAATATAATTAAAGAAGATTATAATTGCAATAAATGTGCAAATTTTTATGATATAAATAATAATACGCAAAATGATTCCTGAATGAGCTTAAGATAAACGCAATATATTTTTTAAATATGTTGAAAATTCAGCACGTCGGATTTGAAATGGGTAAAACATAGTTGAGTGTATGTTTACATTTTTTGCGTGACCGCCAAACAGTTATCGCTCGCCTCACTCACATTCATGCGTAGAATGAATTATGGAATGAATGAGGTAATAATAATCAAGATCATTGTGTACGTAGAGACGTTTCGACACAAAGCGCGTTTTATATACAGTATCGTAATGAATTCGCGATGTAGATACATCCACAATTTTTGTGAAATAAAGTGTGCAACTTTTTTATTATAATACGAATAACTGACAATAAGTGCGGATTTTCAACGTACGTCGATTCTTCAATGGATCTAATGCGGTAGAGGTTATGATGGAATCTGCGGATTGAAGCAAGCTGCAATATCCTAGCTGGTGAGTAAATTATTTGTTTATTGTTAAAATATGCATATAACTTTGTGGTAATACCCATATAAACAGTTACTATTTATATTTGCTAAATATTTATTAAAATGCTTGTTAGAATATTTATTAAAACATTTATTACACATTTATACAAATTTTTAAATAATTATTTGCGCAAGTTGCGTATAATAGTTATGTTTTAGCCAATATAAAATAATTAAATATTTAAATATTATCAATGTAGATAAAATATATGATAATTTATAATAACTAAAACAATAGATATAATTTTTATAAGTACAACTTTGAGAGCGTACTTATATTAGCTAAGATACAACTGGTGAGTGAATTTATTAAGACAGAATATGTAACGAGTTAGAAACTGCAATACCTCAGCTCATATATAGAATTTTTTCTTAATTATAAATTTAATTGTTAATTATAAATTTAAATATATATATATATTATTACAATAATATATACAGAATTACAGTTACAGTATTTTTTTCTTATTATTCTTTCTCTTTTCTCTTTTTTGTTCTATTTTTTCTACTATTATACATATATTTTACATATATTTGATAAAAAAACAAAATATATAAACATGCAAGATAGTGCTATTGATTTATTATAGAGTTCATGCTTTTTGTCTAATATCATCTATTAAAATTAATTCAATATTAATCAGTATAAAAAATTTACATCAAAATTAATGGCATGCAAAATTTATTTTCATTTATGTTTTTTACTTCAACATTCACACGTGATTAAACAAATATAAAGTAATGAATGATAGTATAATAAAGAAAATGAGGGAAAAAGTGAAAAATTGAAGAAAAAAGTTAGAAGATAGAAAGATAATTTGATGCATATATAAGTATTTGTTTTTGCTTCCTTAATTAATTTATATATGAGCTTGGGTACACATCCCAGTCGCTAGAATTATTGCATATAATTGCAGGCTTTATGCCTGTTACTTTTCCTGAAAGAAACGTCCCGTTCGCTTGAAAAGTGAATGTGAAAGTAAGCGTATATTGAAATCAGTTACCAGGAACTTGGACAATCATTACAATAATTGCAGTATACATTATGCTAATATTACACACTATTTGATTCGTTTCATATCTGCTCTATCTTTATTTATAAAGTTCCACAAAAAATTTGCAAAAGAAATAAGATAAAACTTTTGAAATAGTCACACGTGCGACGGCTGATTTCTCTACTTACACAAGCGTAAGGTATTTCATGGATGTGTTAGAGGCACTGATAGTTCATAAATAATATATGTACATTGTTTGTAGATTTAGCTAAACAGCTATGCTTATACAAAGTGTTTCAAATCAACCATGTCATCTGTTCATAGTAGATTTCTGAAGTTATTTGGAAACAAAAATCTTTGATCAAAATATCGAAGCTACAATCATTTTTAAATAGGAAGTATTTAAGTTGAACAATTAGATTGTCCAACACTCACGTGTTGAGGCACGTTGCATATTGATGTTTATATCCTTATTATATGAAAAACTTTAGAAATCTGCTATTAATGAGTGATATGGTTAGTCTCAGATACCTTATTTTAGATTATTTTTTAATCTATTCTCTTAATGATATTATAAGATAAAACAAATTGAATTGACTTACCGACATGATGCCCAGTAGCGGAGTTGTATACAAGTTGATCTGTAACATAAAAAATACATTTAAATTATAGCGTTTATAATAATAATGTAACAAATAATTATTAAACATATTAAACTTTTACTTCTCTTTTTTTATGCAAATATCTAAGAAAAAATTACATATTTATCGAAAAACTATAATTTTTAAAATAATAATTAATATGTTAAAAAATCTAATAACTCATAAATATTAAAAATTGCAAATCTTTGACTGAAAAATTTTGTTTCAAAGTTTCTATGTTACATTGCATAATATTTTACGTGCAATATTTTGCAAACAACAGATAACAAATAAATGATTACTTACCTAAAAGTTGCTTTGCTGGTGTCCGATGTCTTTCCTGAGTTTCTAGACGCTCAGGAAAGGCATCGCTGGAGCAACTATAGTAGGATAAGTAATTGATTATTTGTTATCTGTGATATAAAAAATATTGCACGTAAAAAATTATATCATATAACGCATATAAAAACTTTGAAATATTCAGTAAAATTCAGTAGATTTGCAATTTTTAATATTTATAGTTATTAGATTTTTTAACATATTAATTATCATTTTACAAATTATAGTTTTTTCGATAAATATAATATTCTTTCGTTAGAAATTTATATAAAAGAGATAAGTAAAAGTTAATGTGCATAATTATTATTTGTTATATGATTATTTTAAACGTTGCTATAATTTGAAATACTTTCTATGTTACAGACTAACTTGTAAACAGCTCCGCTGTTGTACATCGTCCCGGTAAGTCAATCCAATTTATTTTAATATCATTAAAAAAGGAAATTTAAAAATAATGAGAAATATACAAGGAATCTCAGATTAACCGTATTACCCGTTAATAGCAGATTTTTGAAGTTTCTCTCATATCGTAAGCATGTAAAAATCAATATGTGACATGCCTGAACACGTGAGTTTTTGACCGATTGATTAACTTTATAAATACTTTTTATTTCAAAATTATAGTAGTTTTGATATTTTGGTATATGACATTTTCGTCTTCAAATAATCTCAAAAATCTGTCAAGAAAGAATAATAAAGTTGGTCTGAGATTATTCTATTTGTAGATAAAGAGCTTCAATTACGATTAAATATTTATTCAGAGAATAGTTGCAACAGTTACGATAGTTATAACATGGTTCTTTCTTCTTTTCGCATTTTTTGAATACGTTAACACAAATTAGCACAAATAAGAAAAAATCCATATGACGACCAACACGCGTTTGTCTAACATTTAAACGTAGATTCGCGTTGCGAGATGGCTTCAATAAAACGCATCGAATGAAAAACGAGAATCGTAAACCAGCTCGCAGAGCCTTCCGATATTTTTTTTCGGCAGGATACAAGTTATTACACAACGCTTGGCTCAACCCCGTTTGAAATCCCCGATGCTATTAAAATAGAAATGGGAAACCCGGCCCTCCCCCAATTCCAGCATAATATTGTGATTACGATATGCACAGACACTTTATATATACGCGCGTATACCTGCGCGAGGACTCCAGACGAGTGCCCCTTGTCCAGTATACATCCAATATCAAAATCGGCTCTTCGCGTTTCCCATACATTTATTCCTGCATAAGCGACTCTGCCTGCATCATTATTTCTTTGGCATTTAATGCATATTTTACGGAAGATTGTAACATTTTATTTTCTACAACCAATAGCGTCTCACGTATGCACGCATATATGATTATAATTCTCGGGGCGGTATATCTGGAGTTTTTAATTGTAATCTGTTATGCTAGAATCAAAGATAAAATCACGTCAGTAACACATGACGATCAAAACGCGATTTTAATATTATAAATTAATTAATTAGCCGAAGGCATGTATGGATTCATAATGCTATACAATTTCCTTGCAAAAGTTCTGCAAAAATAGCGTGGTTAAACAATACATCATCGATTTACGCCAAGTTTTATATTGGATACGAAAATATGTCTCAGAGTGGCAGCTGCATATTTGCTGCTGCTAGAGGGTTGCTTCATGCTTGCCGTGTATTTATTCCTGCCCGCGCGCCGGTCTGTCGTTATTTCTCCAACGCCTAATATATGTTTCAGCAACACGTATCCGTTTGCTGCGTCGTTTTAAATTTCACAGCATATATATCTTGAAGTTTGCATCTCTAACAGGCGAATAAATGTTCCCTCATAATATTCCCTGTTTTATTATTTCTGCAATTTCACTCAGTTTGCATTTCTAGATTTTCTCATAAAAAAATTTCTAAAAGTTCTGTATTGAGAATTAGCTATACGAGAGAGGAGAGCACAAAAATACCGCATATGTATTGATATGCAATATAATTTCGTTTACACTAATGCGATACATACGGATACATTTTTTTTCGCCAAATAGTTTAGATCCGCAAAATTCCAGAGAATAGAGAGCGGAAAAAAGGGACACAGGCTGTTCGAAGTATACGGAATACAAAACAAAACTATCGCTTACGCGCGCAGCATCACCATAAATCCCAAGTGTATGGCTACGTAGGTCGTATTCGCGCGTGAGATAGTGCTCGGAGTGGAGAATGTATCAAAATCAGGCGCGAGGTTGCTTTATGGACGGGAACGCTCGTAAATACGCACTTCTGGTACTCCTGCTCGACTACGGAACGGCCGAGACTCCAGAGAAACTGCCTGGGTAGGTTAGGCGATAGAGAAAGGGCTACGAAATAGCTTCTACGGGATGCTAATAAAAGATAGAACCAGCTAGATAAACTCGCGCGGCAATACTGCCTCTCGCCTACCCTTGCTACCGCGCCACTATTGTTTCCAGTATCGTCGTCTTCTAACCGATGCCAACGATGAGAACAATTGATTACCGAAACATGAGACTGCCAGAACTTGACCTCGAGTTCGATTTTGGTTTCTTATACTCAGTTATAACAATGTCGATTCGCGCCAACTCTGATTAATTCCCAATTTCTCATAATCGCGATTAATTAATTTTCTCCTTGATCTATATATTTTAGGCAAAATAATAATGTAAAATATAATTACGAATATATCATTAATCAGGATCAACATATTTCACAATTCTGAGGAGCTTGAATCGTCTCGATTTTCGTTTAATTTTCGTTTAAACAAAGCCCGAGAGAAATAATTATAATATAATATATACAAAGAGAAAAAACGTATATCACATTGTCCTGTCTATGCCTTAAAATCAGCAGTGAAAAAACTGGAAATACATTTCGAACATTAATACAAATTTTTATTATTTTTTTTTATCTCGGCAAAAAAATCGCTTTTATCGGAAAGTAATTACATACTGCATAATATATAAATGTATCTAAACCAGTAACCCTTGTTTCCATGTGTTCCGATGAAAAATTTGCGTTCCATGTTTAAAAATTAATATGAAATTTTTTATTACTTTTTATCTCGGCAAAAAATCTCTTTTATTGCAATATAAAATAATTACGTATTTTATAAAAAAAATTTTACGGGAAACGGGATACGTTACTATCCAAACCAAAAATGAAAAAATTGATCGTATATTAAATATTGTCCAGTCGATTGGCGCGCCCGGCATGCGAATTCATCGTGCGAAACAAATCTATGCCAATAAAACTCCTTCTAACATCGATTTCAGAAGGCATTAGTTTGCTAAAAAGCAGGTGCAGAGGACTTGGATTCGAAAAAACATCTCTTGATGATTTCAAGGCGTTAAGTGAACACGCGAGATCATACGCAACTCTTAAATGATGACGGTTAACAGATACGAGCTTCTGACGAGCATTTCGCACGCATCGCGAATGTAGTGCACGCGTTTACACGCACGCTCTCCGCAAAAGCGAAGTAGATTGACATTTTCAATCGCTCACGAACCGTTATTAAAACGTCATGTACACGGACGAGCGGCCGTCGCTTGACGGGAAAATTTGACTTACTGGATCTCAGCTGTCTCCCGATTGCTGGCCTCCCTTGCACGACTGTATTTTGCTTCAATCAATTACAATATGTTGGCGGCCGGCTTAACGATAAACGTACCGCGATGCGAGATAGTGAGTCTCGATAAGTCGCAGTTGACAAGAGACGGCAGTGATTATCAAGTTTACGCGACGCTTCTCGCGCTTCTTGCGCTTCCTTCGTCGCAATAAATGCATGCTAACAACCTGGAAAGCAAAGAGCTCGAGTGGATATTGATCATTTGCGCAAATTATTTTCGTACTAGTACAGCTTGTACTTCGTCAAACGCCAATTACCTACATATTTATCCGTATGTGATAGTTCGCGGATGCTGTCAAATGTAAAAAAGTACGCATCAAATTCTTGTCAAAGCTTCTATAATTTATCATTTTTTAAATAAAAGTATTATGATAATTAATATTCCTAAAATTTTATTTTAATTAAAAAATTGTAAAAATTTATGCTTATATATATATATATATATATGATTTATTGAATATATTTTATGCTTTTTATGACTTTTTTAATCAAACACACAATATGCTAGTGGCTATCGATTGTCAATGTTTTATAAGTATTTATATTTTCGCTTTTACTTGAACACGTATTTCTGTATTCGTTCTACGAAACGCTTCAATTAGCACATTACGTCAGAACTTTACATGTGTGCCGCGAAGTCGACAGTCAATAGAATTCCTTATTATAATACTTGAAGAACGAGTCGAGACTTCCCATTCTTGGCAAATAATCGACCATCTTGCACGCACCCAAGAGGACAATCATCTACAAGATGCGTCCGCTTCGAGGGTACGTTAACGATTCCCTGAAACGGTTCCTCGAACGATTTCCACCCGATTCAAAGCAGCCTGTGGAATTCCCTTACGAGCAGTAGAAACGGTTATATCTTCGGTAGTATAGACGAGAAGAATGAATCGATGCACCCGTAATCGAAATAGTTTCTCACCGCATATCAATGTAATTCATTGTTTTGGAAATTTAGAATCAAGCGATACTGAGAAAAAAGATCTGAAATTATCAAGTCATAAAATTCGTGAAATATCGTAGCATTAATTCAAACTTTTTTACATA